AATGATATAAAACTGTGATTGGTGGGTTTAATGATATAAAATTGTGATTGGTGGGTTTAATGATATAAAATTGTGATTGGTGGGTTTAATGATATAAAATTGTGATTGGTGGGTTTAATGATATAAAATTGTGATTGGTGGGTTTAATGATATAAAATTGTGATTGGTGGGTTTAATGATATAAAACTGTGATTAGTGGGTTTAATGAGAATAAAATTATAGTATTTGTAGTTATCATACATATTTATTTTTCCATTGATTTTCAATCATTGAAACTAAATTCCAACTTGGCAGGAAGCCCCGATAAAACAACTTTTCACCTTACCAGGTATACTTTGATCTCAGTGCGACAAAAAACTCGATCAAGTCTCACTTAGAACTTTTTATACAAACTCAGACATGTTACTGACTTTCCAAAACTATACAGAAAACTTAGATCCCATATGAGTGGAATGAAATTTATTTCTTAACCATATTTTCTGGCCTCATCTTACTGCCTCTGGTGACACGTGAATAAGTTAGAATGTTAATATACTTACCAATAGTCAATAATTGCCTTAATGATAAATGCATTAATTATGAAATGTATTGGTTAACTCTTTCTTGACCCATGACCTATCTGGAGAGGGTTAATCTCTTTAATAATAACATGAGTACATATGTATGTATGTGTCCACAGTTTTTGCATTAAGTCACATGTTTAAAAAACATGTTGATGATGACTTGAGAAAGTGCTTTAAGCCTGAGAACAAAGTGAAGGGAAAGTAAAAATATTTATTATATATTTGATATATAATTATTTGTTGTTATTTAAACTGTTTTTAATTTCTGAAGAGATAAACGAGTTACTCACATTGGGATCAACTCCAGCATGCAAGTATGCTAGGTAACCAAGTACATCAGGAGTTAAGGATATCATGAAGCAATTATACTACAGTTGGACAGTTAGTAACTGTTTTAATGTCAGAATATAAGCTTTCTTCTTTGGATATCCATGCAAGCTTCTCAAGAGATTTCTGAACAAGCTGTTCCTAGTTTTGAACTGATACACTAATCAACTCTTGGGTTACTACTACCTGTAAATGAATAGTGTCATTTAACCACCACCCTTATTACAGATCCGCAATCATATAGTGTAGAATTCGTTTTTTTGTCCTAACGCAACCAGAAAATAGCACCTGCCAACCGATAGTCCAAAATGTTAATAACATAATGCAATCTATACATCTAAAACATATAATACATAAAAAATAATATACAGAGAAATATTTCGTACTAGTAGTCTTATGAAGTTATGAATCAAGTATGCATAGCATTACTGTTTTGTTTGTTTTGAATTTCGCGCAAAGCTACACGAGGGTTATCTACGCTAATTCAGCAGTGTAAGACAAGAGGGAAGGCAGCTTGTCATCACCACCCACCGCCAACTCTTGGGCTACTCTTTTACCAACGAATAGTGGGATTGACCGTCACATTATAACGCCCCCATGGCAGAAAGAGCGAGCATGTTTGGTGTGACAGGGATTCGAACCCACGACCCTCAGATTGCGAGTCGAGTGCCCTAACCAGCATAGCATTACAAATTAAATGTTACCTTTGTTGGAGAATTGGCTTTAATCTGCTATACTAGCACCTTCTATGAGTTATACATATAATATAAAAATTTTAAACCCTACTGCTAACTTATGCAAAAAAAAAGTTAGCATGCATAGAAGAGACAAAGAAAAAAAACATCCAATAATTGTAACTTAGCATTTTATCTACTTGCAAGAGAACTTGTACATGTTATAAAATCATGAAAGTCAAAAGAATCCAGCATGACGATAATAAACAATTTTAACCAGATTATCAGTTTCTCCACTGATACAAAGTGATGATGTAAGATAAAACACAGAGTAAAAACTTTCATGACACACACCTAACAGAAACAATACGTTACAAAACATGAAATTAATGTTTTTCTGATGGGAGAAAAAAAGATTGTCAATTCCAACTTACAAACTTTCCTCTACGGATACAATACCTCAATCTCAACATCTGCATTGTAACGTAACAGTAGTTTAATGACTTCAATATGACCATTTTGGCTTGCTCCCTGGAGTGCTGTGTGAGTTGCAAAAACACCATTCACCTAGAAAATGTCAAATCAGAATGTTTATGAACAAATTAAAGAGTTAATACTTTTCTAATAAACAAATTAACTTTTATTACACTTAGAATCAATTATACCACATTTTTATGTGTTTATTTTTAAAAATTTTTTAACATTCTTGTTTTATTTTTTCTTGGGCATTTTACTAGATCTTTAAAATAATTTCTGTGTTAATGTCATTGAAATAATTTCTGTGTTAATGTCATTGAAATAATTTCTGTGTTAATGTCATTGGAATAATTTCTGTGTTAATGTCATTGGAATAATTTCTGTGTTAATGTCATTGAAATAATTTCTGTGTTAATATCATTGAAATAATTTCTGTGTTAATATCACTGAAATGATTTCTGTGTTAATATCATTGAAATGATTTCTGTGTTAATATCATTGGATTAATCTCTGTGTTAATAATTAACACTTTGTTAATGTGTGAGATCAAGGTTTTAAATTTTTTAAAACTAGTCATTGGATTAATTTCTGTGTTAATACTTGAGATCATGATTCTAGAATATTTTTACAATAGGGGTGTTTAAATTGTGTATTAATACATATAATTAGGATCTTATAATTGTTTAAAATTAGGACTCTTTGGATTAACTTCTGTCGTAATACTTAAAACCAGAACTTTTTTAAATTAATAAATTCTGTGTTATATATTTAAATAATATAAGTATACTAACATGTTTTAAACAAGAGGTAATTGGAATATTTTCTGTATTAATAGTCAAGAACAGGGTTGCAAAATAGTTGTACACATGTGCATAATGAGAGCTGAAGGATCTGACCTAGAACTGAAGGTTTTCACAAGAACTCCTAAGTTTGTTTGTTTGTTTTTGAATTTCGCACAAAGCTACACGAGGGCTATCTGTGCTAGCCGTCCCTAATTTAGCAGTGTAAGACTAGAGGGAAGGCAGCTAGTCATCACCACCCACTGCCAACTCTTGGGCTACTCTTTTACCAACGAATAGTGGGATTGACCATCACATTATATGGTTTACATATTGTTACTTTAATCAGTAATTTCACAAACTATGTTTTAATGTTGGCCCTATAAATGACCAAACTTTCCCTGGAGTGACAAATTAGAATAAAAAATACTTCTAATCATACTGCACTAATGGAAATAATAATTAACGTATTAGGGTCAAGACTACTGTTGTGAAACATATATATGACAAGTCTTTCTAGACTGCACAAGATTTAACTACATAACCAGATTTAAAAAGGCACAATATCAGTTTGTATTACTAAAAAAAAAAGGAAAAATGCTACTCAACTAGAAGTTTCACAAAATCTTCTAGTGGAGGTAGAAAGAAATGTAAGAAAAAAAAAAAAAAAAGAAGTCTAATATTTGACTACTGTATACGGCATTACTGATAAATGTACTCATTCTTCTCTTACCTCTGCATCAGGCCTTTTTAAAAGTTCTTCCAACTTCTGCACATCACCATTAGCTGCTGCTTTTACCAATTCCTCATTGATATCACCAGACACGTGAGTTTCAAACAACTTCTTCAATAAAGCACTCAGTCTCTCTGTCAGGACATTTCACAAGTTAGCATTTTATTTCAATCTCTAATCAAAGATCAATACTGTATATAGTAGTTATTTCATCTTGATGCTGGCCAATAAACAAAAATCTCTAATCAGATTCTATGATGCCATTAGTCATGATGTATAAGAACAGACTACCAGATTCATGTCACTAATCATTATATATATGAGAATAATACTACTACACACCATAATATTATCAAACACAATACATCAAAATAGACTACCAGATTCTGTGATGTTATTAGCCATGATACATAAGAACAGGCTATCAGACTGTTATGCACTAACCACAATACGAAAGAAAGAAACTACCCAATTATGCTACATCACAAACAATAATATATAAGAATGAAACTATCAGATTCTGTTATATTACTAACAATAATATCTAAGAATGAAACTATCAGATTCTGTTACATCATCAACAATAATACATAAGAATGAAACTATCAGATTCTGTTATATCACTAACAATAATATGTAAGAATGAAACTATCAGATTCTGTTATATACCAACAATAATACATAAGAATGAAACTATCAGATTCTGTTATATTACTAACAATAATACATATGAATGAAACTATCAGATTCTGTTATATCACTAACAATAATATGTAAGAATGAAACTATCAGATTCTGTTATATCATTGTTGGTGATATAACAGAATCTGATAGTTTCATTCTTAGATATTATTGTTGGTGATGTAACAGAATCTGATAGTTTCATTCTTAGATATTATTGTTGGTAATATCTAAGAATGAAACTATCAGATTCTGTTATATTACTAACAATAATATCTAAGAATGAAACTATCAGATTCTGTTATATCACTAACAATAATATATAAGAATGAAACTATCAGATTCTGTTATATCACTAACAATAATATCTAAGAATGAAACTATCAGATTCTGTTATATCACAAACAATAATATCTAAGAATGAAACTATCAGATTCTGTTATATCACCAACAATAATATCTAAGAATGAAACTATCAGATTCTGTTATATCACCAACAATAATATATAAGAATGAAACTATCAGATTCTGATACATCACCAACAATAATATATAAGAATGAAACTATCAGATTCTGATACATCACCAACAATAATATATAAGAATGAAACTATCAGATTCTGTTATATTACTAATAATAATACATATAAATGAAACTATCAGATTCTGTTATATCCCCAACAATAATACGTAAGAATGAAACTATCAGATTCTGTTATATCACCAACTATACATAAGAATGAAAGTACCAGGCTAAGTAAATTCAATAACCATGATATTCAAGAACAGAGTACCAGAGTCTGTTACATAATAAACCATGATACATAAGACTACCAGATTCTGATACATCAGTAACCATAAATAAAGTATAAAATTCAATTACATCACAAAGCAGTAACCATGATAAAGTATAAAATTCTTTACATGATACATAAAACTACCAGCTTCTGTGATATAATTAACCATGATAAATAATAACATCAAACCAATACAACAAAATCTTATCAACATAAACTTTTGCAAAATCAAATGTAATTGAATGTTGAGTTAGATTTGCCACTTATGACTGCAAACTCAAACTAAATACATAAGCATTTAATGAAAGGCAGTTTATGAAATTAAAATGTCACACATCTTGTTATTTTCAGCCGAACACTAGTAGCAACTCTTTCATTAACATGCTTTGATGTTTATAAACAATAGTTAAAAAAAAAAGTAACTCCTAATTATAAAACAAGAACTTTCATTTGTTTACACTTTAACACAATATGTATGGATGTCACTGTTAGAAACATGTGAATCTTCACACGAGGAAGATGAACCAAATCAAGCAAAATAACAGAAAGCACTGAAAAACAATAAAGAGGGAGGAATCCTTATAGCTAACCTATTCACTGAAAATAAAAAAAAAGAATTAAGTGAAACAAGAATTTTGGGTTGTCTTAGGACCTATGATCTTACTGAAGAGTAAAGCGACAGTAAATTATTGTTTAAACCTTACTGCAGATCTGATTCACCCCTATTATGAACAAGTTATCCCCAAATGCAGCTGGTCTGTTTCAAAAAGGCAATGCAAAAATTCACACGTCCAAAACAATTAAAAGACTGGTTCAAAGAACACATTGAAGAGTTTAGTTATCTGACTTAGCGACCACAGTCAGTCACCTGGTTTAAACATTATTGTGTCTGTATTAAGTAATTTATTAAGACTATCACCAAATGTTTTTTTAAAGCACAAGCTTCAAGCTCAATTACCTAAGGTTTTGTTATATAAACATCTCGCACCTGTAGAAGGCTTAGGTAATTGAGCTGAAAGTTTGTGCTTTAAAAAAACTAAAAAAAACGTGGTGATAGTCCAAATAACTTACTTAATACAAATACGAGTATTCGTGTTAAAAGCCTGAAATATTACTTGTTATTGTGTCTATTTAGTCAGTTCTTGAAATAAAGTTTCAAAGCAAATTTCTACTTCCAATATCCATTTAATGATTAAAAGGAGCTTTTTGATCCACGAATGGTCAAAAAATATTGTCTGATGTACAACACCTGTTTCATCAATTTCCAATCACGTTAACACTGTGTTGTCTGCAAATGTAAGAACAACTCTTTACAAATAAACATTACTTTATCTAACAATGTGCATGACTACAAAACATACAAAACTATATTTCCCCACTTCATCTTTAGCCTAGACAGGGAACTAATCAACATCACAGTTGTTCTACTTTAATTATTTCTGTTTTATGTTTGTTACATATTTCAAATACAATACACCGCCGATTTTCCAGCAACTAATGGTCCAGCACCTCCTTTAATCCAGACAAAATTATGACAGTGCACTTGACATTCCTGTGAACACCAGGCTAGTTCACTGGGCAGCCACAGATGGCATTGCATGTGGCACGCATTCTTTTGGGATGGGCTACTTACATTTCATGTAGTTGAAAGTTTTCACAATTTCCTTAACATTGTGGATTTCATTATTTTCCTATTTCAAAACATATAATACATACAATGTTCCATTCACTATACAGTCAAAGTGTATGTGTGTGTGTGTACATAAAAAAATGTTATTCATAATACAGTCGTTGTTAAAACAAAACTGCATGTGAATTTTCCAGACTAAAAACACTTAAACAAGATTTATATGTCGTAAATTCTGAAGATATAATTTTCTGATAACCTACCCCCACTAGATGTACCAGGTAGGGCACTATCAGATGCCACTTTTGTAACAGCTGCAGGGTTATATGTCCAAGAAGTTCCACAAACCTCAACTTTCAGGTCATTGTCATGATAGATCTGCTGAATTCTTCCAATCTTCCCAAGGGTCTAGAACATAAAAAGGATATAAATATAACCTAAATCTTTTCAGTATTTAAGGTATCAAGTGAACCCTAATATAGGCAGTCCAACCTAATCAGGAGTCAGAACATATGTTAATTAATTAAACATAAAAAAATATCTTTTAAAAGTTAAAATGTCCAATAAAGAAATTGATAATCAGTACCTACCATACCCATCAACCCATTTTAGTGTCTACTTGTAGTTATTACAATGAAAACCCATATTTTTCTTAAATCACCCAGATGATTGTGTAATGACTCATTTTTTGATGTATAACTGCTAACATGTAAAGCCATCATAATTGCATACTGTGCATCTAGCGTAGCTTTCTCCCGGGCTTGGCTTGCCAATCACCCTGTGAAACACATTTTCCCATGACTTTCGCTTTTTTGCGGGGAGTCACTTTCAAAAAGGAGGAAATTATAATGTTGATAAGATTGCTCATGTACAATGATACAGTGGGTAACACCAAAAGTAACTGAAAAGAGCCACAAATTATGATAATGATACTTTATTTCCCTAAAAAAAAACATGAAACTTAGGCATGATATTGAATCTATAGAAAAGAGAAATAAGGCTGTAGGCTTTCAAAACTAATAAAAAAAAACATAGTCATTACAACCAATCTGAAGTGATTAAAAGGTATGAACTACCAACACCTTACAGTATCCTCTTCTTTACAGATCCAACTTGTACTTTTGGTATTAATCTTTAAGATATGGTACTATTGTATCTTTAAAAAAAAAACATTCCCTTAAAATTCTGAAACTGTTTATATTTACTTCAATGTTTTCTACCCTAAATTAAATATTTAATATTTTGTTGCAAAGATATTTGTCTAATCTTATGTTGGCTTTGGTATAGAACTTCACAAATGCATTAGAAAGGAATGTAATAAAATTATGAAAATCTTACGGGTGTCATGGCCTCAGCCCATTCGCCATGACCTCGTTGAAGAATTTTAATTCTCTCAATATCACTACAAATTTGGACAAGATCCCCAACAGCAAACTGTTGTGTGGAAGATGTTTCTCCACAAGAAGAAGTCTGGGGTACAGAATTGACTTTCGTCAGAACAGCAGGGTGAAAGGTCCATCTACATAAAAAAGAAATAATTTTATCACAATCTTTGCCCAGAGGGTAAAATGATCTGAGAGTTTCTTTTATCTACATGGTAAAAAGTGTATTGTGTCAGTTCTTTTTCACTTATATAGTTCAGGGACGTTCTGTCATTTCTTCTAATGTATACACAGTATGTGTTTAAGTTAGTACTTTTATCTACATAGTTGAGCACGTCCTTTTCATAGTTTTTACCCATACAGCAAATTGTGTCTTGTTTGTATATTTATCTACACAGCAACTGTTTTCTGTCAGTTCTTTTTAACTAAACATTAAACTGTTTTGTCAGTTTATTTGTAGAGTAGACTGAGTTCTGTTATCAATATTAGTGAACTATGTTACATCAAGATAATTTCAATGTATATAGTAAACCTTGTTCTATCAGTTCTTTTTCAATGATTGTAACTGTTCCTGTGAAAACTACTTCAACATAGAGTTAAATATGTTACATTCAAATGGTTTTGAATACATAAATCAATCACAGCAGATATAACATGGTGGTGGAATGGAATTTATCAGAACTGCACTTTGACATTTTATAGGTAATGTGATCTCACCAAAAATTAATTGCTTTTGAGAAGAGTATGTATTTTCTTTCTGACACAAAATAATCACACACTTAGATCTTAAACATGTAAGCAGACTTAGATTTAAAATTTCCAAATCAGAGATATCCGTTGTATTTAATTGCATTGGAAAACAAATGAATATGGATCAAGTTAGGGCAACAGGACCACTCAGAGATAGACCTGCAGAAAGTTGTACCCTAGCCATGGTAATCAAAATTATGCATCATGTAACAAATGAAAATCCACAAACAAACAAAAAAAACATTCATATTTCACAGGCAACAGTATCTAAAATAATAAAAAAAAGGTCTTTGTCTGGAAAAGCAACACAAGTCACATGTACACAAGTTGCTTCCAGAAGAAGAGGACCAACTGTAATAAGCTGTATGAACAGTATCTTGCTGAAGAAAAATAACAGTATGTGGTTAACAAAGTGTACCTTGATAACTATAACAAATCTCATGATGTTTTGTACAGATCAGTGGGTAGAAAAATTTTCCAAAAATTGGTACACAGCATGCCCCAAAGTTCAGGAAAAATATGTACAAAAGTCAAGGTGAACTTTGCTTACTATCATACCAATGTCCCAGACTCTTTGTATAACACAGAAATATAAGTTTCATACACAGATGAGGCTATAGGGTATGGGTTCACCAAGATAAGGTTTCCAGTTAGACCTCAAGCAGCTACAGAACAAAATGGGCATTCATGTTATTCTACACAGATATATTGATCAAGTCACCAGGAAGAGCACCTACACATTCCTGTGCAATAGGACTGTTCAAATGAGTTCTGAGAAGCTACTGTTCTCATTCACTGGAGAGATTGTGGAAAGCCTGCAGGAAGAAGTGATGTGCTTTGGACATGACAGACTTATAACAGAACCTTTTGCAATGGACACTACACTGAAAGGCTATTGTCAAAATGCATGGTCTTTAGAAACAGTATGACCAAACACGGCAACATGAACTTTAATGATACAGTAAGGCTCCAAAATAATTGTAATAAACCATACTCAAAACTCTCTATGTAGTCAACTCGTGTTCATCCAATCATTTTCATTTAAGTACTAAATAAGAAGATAAATTACACATTTTAGGTTTTAAATAAGCATACTACCTAGTAACTAATTAATAAAATAAGTAATTTAAATAATTATTTGTAGGTTGTGAACCAAAATACTTTTTTTTTAAATGGGGTCAACATTTTTCAGGTTCATTTATAAAATACAAAAAATTTCCTGAATGAAACTTTTATTACAACTGAACATAAACTAAGTCAAAAGCAACACAATACTTGTAGTTAGAATGTTAGTCTTTGCTGTAACAAGTTTATATGAACATGCAACAAAACTGTAACATCTAGAATCTAAAATGCTCTAAGTTTGTGTTTCTTATAACAGTCCTTTTATTTATATTCCAAATTATTGAAACAGACTTAAACACTTAACTTTGCTATGTCTGAAGTTGTTTGAGAATCTAGATAAATAATTTTTAACATTTAGTTTGATTTTAAATGTAGCATTTTTAAGAAAAGTTACAAACCTATTCCCACTTGCATAAGATACCACAATATCATGATCTTCATCCACAGCTGCAACAGTCCCTGTTGTTCCTAAACACTGCAAGATGTACAAAACATCATTGTATTTCAAAACATTTTACTGCTCATAAAATTCACCAACACAGCTGATGACTTTGGAGAAAAAAAATGCATTAATTTTTTGGAACTATTGTAGAAAAAAAGCAAATCAGTGGATTCAATCAGGTGGAAATAACTTCTAAGATTTAAGTTTCTCACATAAAACTCCCCCACAAATATCATAAAATCAACAGGTAAAAATAAATCCATGCTTGGTTAACTTTCCTAACAAAATATTTCAATAACGACAGTTCTTTAACAACACAGAAGAAAACGTTATCTAAAAAAAAATTATCTTGAACTCAATTTTTTTCATTTTATTTGCAGTCTGATATTACTGCCTTTTGTAATTAATCAAAATAGATCTTTAACATATCATTTCCTTTTAATTCTTTATCAAAATTGGTAAACAAAAAAAAGAGAGATGCCTCGTTCACTAAAATATTCAATATTATTATGAATGGAATATTAATTGCATTGCTTCACAATGTTATAGTAAACCTGGAGGAGGTTGAAAACATGAATATGGCCATGATCACATGTTGTTCAATAACACCTCAATGGACCTTGAAGAGTTTGACCCTTTCCACACTGGTAAAGGTATTATTGATACCCCATTTTTTCATTATCACAGTGAAACTACTTAACTAAGTTGCATGAAAATGGTACATATACTCTACCTAGTGTCTAGTTTCTGCATGACTTTTTTTAAATTTGATTTAGTATTTCTATTATTTTCCAGATTGTGAAATGTTTTAAATTTTAAGAAACACTGTTATAATATAACAAAGAAAACACTTTCTTGCATCTTAAAGTTTCTTTTTTTGTTATTATGATCAGAAAGTTTCCTTTTAAATACATCCAATCCATTTTACCTTATTTGATATTCATAAATATATTTCTTTTGATAATTTACTTTTCTGATTGAAGCCATGGCCTTAACACTGTAAATCAGTACAAACACAATATGACTGAGAAATATTTACTAATTACAAGTTATCTCACAGGTAAATATGATAACAGGTTACTTTCATGACCCATGGCAGTACAACATTTTGTCAGTTTTTGGTTAAGATCACGTTTACCAAATAATTACAGATTGTTTTCTGTGAATAAAAGGCTTTGCTATTTATATGTGTTGTTTGAACACAATGGACTTAACAATATATTCAATATCGCAGACCTTAGCTACCTCAATATCTATACCCAATATCTTTACAAGATTATGCCTTTACGTTTCAGAGGCATAACACAAAAATGTTATCAGAAATTAAAATATCATCTGAAACTATATAAATAACTCCAAGCTTCTAATTAATAAGGAAATATTTCAAAACTTTATCCTAAGGTTGCTTCATCACCCAATTCACCATTTTCAAATGTGCAACTAATATGCACACAATACTAGTGGAATATAAATAACACAGCAATATAGCTTAGAAATTCTGACTTCTGATGATTATGGGCTTTAAACTCTAACTCTTTCAAAAATGAGAACCAATCAAAGTTCTCAAGAAATGCACCACTGGATCATACAAGCAAATGAAGTTTTAACGATTTAAATTCACAGTTGGACAAACAGAAATTATAAAATAAGAAAAATATTTCATGCTGAAACCCGATTGGAAGAAATAAATATAAGCTTAGAAACAGAAAAAGAATAAAAAATAAAAAAAGTTTAATGCTTACAGTCCAGACAACTTGATAAAGAAAGAAATTAAAATGTTTGAACATTATTATAATTTTCATTTGTGAAGCAAACTCGGTCAGGATAATATAATGCTAAAACATCAACTCTGCATGTTTTTGAGTAGAAAATTAAAACATATTCTTACAGAAAACCTGCAATTCAGCAGCATTATTGAATGTTGGTACACTACACAAGGCTAAAAGCTGAATGTTAATCCTTATTGTTTTCATTTATGAATAGCTAAATGTCAATCATGAAAAAACAAGTAATAAATATAAGGACTAAATTCTTGCATAATAATAATGACTCAACAATGTGAAGTCCTAATTAATGGTCATGTATGTTCTATGTAGGACCACAAAATTTCTTTTAAAAGTTCTTTAAACTACTTCACGTCTTACCTCAAACATACCATCCGTCCAACCACCGTGTCCATGCTGGAGAGACTGGACAATGCCCAGGTCAAGATCCACATTAACTTGGTCACCAATCTGGAAACCATGGACACCAGTTCGACCAGGACCTTGTTCACCTACAGACAAGATATTTGTACATCATGATCTTTCAGTTATATTGTCATTTTAAGAATATTTTAACCTTTTCTGACATCACCTCTATGAACTTAGAAGTACAAGATTACACAGAGATGAACCAGAAAGCATAACAAACAGGATTTTAATATTTTGGAAGAAATTATTACACGAGCTAAAAGAAAAGGGGTTATAATAGAATAAAACTTCAATTTAAATCCTTCTTTTTTTTCACCTAATTTCAGAAATAAACTGAAAATGAAGTGTAAGCTCCTCAAACACCAAAAAGTTTCCAGAATGAATTTTCAAACATTGATAGATTTTCCTATTGACCCCGAGCATAAAACTACTTAAAAACTTCAAATAGTTTCTGAAATAAAAGAATCGTGTAAGTTTTTCTTAGCAGACAAATTCATGATATATTTTTTACCATTTTTTCACTGTCATTGTATTTAGCTAATAAAAGAACAATGCTTCTCTTTGTGTGAAGTGCAAAATAAAAATTATTGTAAAACAATTATACTACAAATATATACCAATTACTAAACAGTGTACGATTAACCCATTAACTGCGGCAGGAGCAGCTCAGTTGCCGTTTTCTGACTCACAGATAAAACTGAGTTGCCATCAATCACAATAAAACGGTAATTTTTGTCATTCGCATAGAGTTATAGTTATATATGTGCGACTGACGGATATTTTTTCATCCGCAGTTAATTGGTTAATTTCTGACTGTAGAAAAAACGACTTTAACTCACCCAACAAAGGCAGATGGTCTCTGTATGCTGTTCCACCTTTAACATCATTCACTACCTTCAGATCAGCCTTTACGCATGGAGAAAACAATAACATTAGTTAGACTACTTTAAATAAAAAGACAACTTTTTCCCAAATAAAAAAACCAGTAAAAACATGTGTTCTATTACTTTTAAATTTATTGTAATAAAATTTAAAAAAAAACTAACATGCATTCATCAGGTTCTATAATTTTTACAACCCGTAATTATATACTCCTATAACCAAATCTGTAACAGGAAAAATGTGAACTTTCAGGACCATACATAAAAAATATCAACATTGGGATAAGTATAAAAACTAATATTACTAGAACAAGTTTCACAAATCATATTGCCACTCTTCCAGAAATAAAACAAACAAACATACATATTACAATGTTCAAATTTTGTCTTTTTATGCGATATATTTTTTTATACAGTATTGCTCAAAAAATTACAAACTACATTGTTATTAAACATTTACCTTGTGCAAACAAAAACCTTGACTTTTGTTTTCATATAAATACAGGAAACTTCCTAGTTGGATTCCAACAGATATACTAAGTGTGAGAACTTTTTTTGTTTGAGGATGGGGTATTGATCTGTTCATTAGAGGTGTGTGTGTAACAATGAAGATGAAGCAAACAAATACTTAGACCCGGTAGTGATACTTAGGCTTAGTAAAAGATAAGCAATATGATAGCTTAAACTGCATGAACAATAAAGCATTGTATTTTAATTTTCAAACCTCACTACATCATACAGGTTACCGAACATCTTGATAAACTGTTTTCTTAAAATTATGATTACTTTCAGCTCAGTTGTTTAACATATCATGATAACTGCATTTGGATAAGGAACAGGATCTAGGGGTGTAGGTAGATAAAAATCATAAGCCTTCATGATAGTGTTCTACTGCAAGTGGTAAGGCTAATTGAATTCTTGGTTGTGTGTGTGTGTAATTATACTGATTACAGGTTCAAAGATGCCATGGTCTTCTTGTACAAGCCACTAGTTAGGCCTAATTTGGAGAACTGCGTGCATTTTGTAGTTCCCATATCTTTGGAAGGTCATCGAGTTATTGAACAGGGTTCAGAGAAGAGTTACTAGAATGATTCTTGGGAAGAATGAGTTGTCATGTGACAATAGTTAGAATCCCTTAACTTTTTTGATCTAATAATTAAAAATGATTGAGAGAATTGATCAGATTCATGTTTCAATTTGAATTATAACAGCAGTAAGATAAAACATCACAAGTTTCAAATTTAGAAAATGTCCAACACATCTTTACTGTAGAGCTATAAGCAATGATTACATCAATAAGTGTCAGCTAATTAAAATTATGATTAAATCGATTAATGTTACAAAAATATTCAACTAATCAAAATTAGTGTTCAAGGTTTTTACTATTTTCGACTATTCTAACTACCCAAGACTCGTACGAGAATAATTTATTAGCTTAATGTAATCGATTAATAAGTCTGACGATTAGTTGATTAACAAACTCCACTAATCACCCATCTTTAATCTTCAGTTGAGGTAATTTTATTTCTACGATAAGATTATAAATCTGTGAAACAAGTTTCCATGTAGAGTGACAGAGGTTGGAACTTTACAAGAGTTTAAGAAATGGGGGTTTAATATAGTGACTAGTTTTCTGTTTGTTGAAAAGAAAATTTGATAGTCAGGATATCCTTGACAAGTCAGAAAGCCCCTTGATGTTCCATAATTTACATAATTTACAAAGCTTAAAAGTATGTTCCTATTGTACAAAATTACCATAACCTTATCCTTTTAAACACTGAGATTATATAAAGGCATTTTGCTAATGACTGAAATCATACACACTAAATTTATGATAAAGTTATAGAAATATGTTATTCAAAATCTTGCAAATACTACTGCAACTATAAATAATTAAATGTAGAAATGTTAATAAAGATAACATTAAACTTTACATTACTTTGAAGTAGTTGCCCAGCAACAGGTTAGCCACAAAAACTTCCTACACATGTGGAATTTATAAAAATAAAAAAACTTAGTTTTTTTTTACATGTGGTTAAAAACTGAATATCAATCAAGACCTTCAAAGTTTGAGATCAAGCTTTTCAAGAGTATGTTACATTTGTTTCTCAGTCTTCGGAAGGTCTAGATTGATATTCAGTTATTAAAACAACTTAGCCACACAAATTCGATGACGAGGAACCCACTTTGAGGCTAATAATGCTTGGAGATGGCTTGAATGGGAAACGAAGAAAAACTTATATTACAAAAGTTTTTCTTCATTATCCATTCAAGCCATCTCCAAGCATTATTAGCAACACAAACTTCCTACTCGTGAGGAATTATTAAAAACAAAACAACTTAGTTACAAAACTTCCCACTCATGACAAATGTATAAAAATAAAATAATGAATAAGTAATGTGAGATATAAAAAACTAGTCAATATTTAAATTTTTTTATCTAAACTCCAAAAAACAAAAATAATAAAGAAACATCCCTTTCAGCAACATGCATTATCATTTACCAACTAGTTAACATATGTACCATTCCCTCAAATCCAACACGATACAAGTTTTTGGCTCCATTGTCCCAAATAACGTAAGCCGCACTTCGAGGACTAGCTGCACTCCAGTCTTGGATCTCCGTCACTTTTCCCCGACGACCATTTCCTCCATCTTGATCCTCCCATTGCCAGTCAACCCCTCGAACTACACGAGCACCAGGAAAAATTCCTCGAATGGCTATCTTTTTACTTTTCCTTCTGGGTTCCATGACAACTCTAATAACACACATTAAAAACACAAGATGAACTGACAAGATTTGAGATAATTAGTTAGCAGAATACATTTAATGAAAACTTCCCAGAATTGATTACAATATTTTAAAAACCAACTGTACAAACTTTAAAATTCTTAATATCTCTGATTGGTCAAGACTACAAAACAAGTTGTATCCTCTAACACACAAAGATCGGGAACCACTAAACTAGTACCTATTGGATACCACAAACAGTTGTAACAACTTACCCAGATCCAAGGCTCGATAAATTTCACTGTTAATATCTTAGAAAACATCCATGAGCACAAATGAAACAAATTTTTGTATTATATTAAATGTTTGAAAGTTGAAATTGAAATCTATGATCCATATAACTCTTTCTCACATATCTTCTTAGATTTTAAAAGAATATGCTTGGTTATGCCACATTTGTTAACAATGAGTAGCCTATATTTCAAAATATTCGCAAATGAAAAATGTACAAATGTGAAAATCTATAAATTATGATATAAACGTCCAAGACTGACACGGTTTTCTGAACTATGTTTCTTTGTTCAAAAGTCTTACCTTTCACTTCCAGGTGTAGCAATGCGATAGAAGCGATGCCTCAGGTGATGTTTATCCCCATGGTAACAGAGGGAGCACAGATCATAATTAGTACATTCGGCACATTTCCATCGAAGTCCAAAGATTGGCTGCTGTCTGCAGGTGTCACACATGGTTCCCTCATGTTTGATTCCTGAATTAGAATTAATTATTACAGTATCTAAAACAGTGTATTACATCTAGTAAAATTATGCAATAAAATATAACATCTTGACAAGATTACAGACACAAAAAGAAAACCCTAACAAAATATTTTGCATCATGCAAATGATATTTTTCTGGTTACAGAATAAAATCCAGTCAAGTCTTTTATGTCCTCATGGGTTTACCTAGTTGATATTTTAGTATATTTAACAATTTTAAAGTAGTCCTTCACTTTAGATGACTGCTGCTCAAAATCTCCCATAAAATGATTTTTGTAAAGGTTTGTTACAGCCCTCATTAAGTCTTTAAAGATGCCCATTGTTTTGGGCCCATTACTGGTCCTTTTATTATTTTAAAGAAATAAATACTTTTGAATTAAGATCCTGTTCTTAATTTTTATGGCATTAGCTACATAATCAACTGTTATTTGAATAAACAGATAAGTTGACAAACAACTTCTCGTGCCCCTGTTGGCTGCTATGGCTCCTATACATTAATTCTGATTTATCTAGACTAGCAATGTTACATGCACAATAATACAACATTTTCAACCTGTATTGTTGTATATAGACAAACATTCATAACTGAGAAACTAAGTCAATGTTTTAAAGTTTAAATTAGCAAATTCAGACTAGCAAGATTTTCACCAGATTTTGATCGTGAACTAAATTGGTCATCATAGTTCAGTGGCACACTGTGAACATGTTTCAGCTTAGCCAGCTGTTTTGTTGAAAAAAAAGGGTATAATCCAGTGAATATAAACTATATTCTAATGTCCAGTAAACAAAGAATCAAGATACAACATCAGCATGATAACAGCCCCCATGGACTATTTGGCAGTGACTATTTTTCAAATGTGAAGGACTGCTAAAAACTTTTCTTATATCTTCATGTGTTCACACAGACTTTGTGGCTATTCAAGAGTTATTAAACTTGTTTAAATAGTCATGAGGTCTGATCAACCCATAAGGATGTAAGAAAAGTGTTTAGAACAGTTCAACATGCTTAAATAGCCACAAAGTCTGTGTGAACCTTTGAGGATATAAGAAATGTTTTTAGAACTGTTAAACATGCCTAAAAACATTTCTTATATCCTCAAGTGTTCACAAAGATTTGTGGCTATCTAACCACATTTAACAGTTCTAAAAACTTTTCTTTTATCCTCATGTTGAATCAGACCTCGTTGCTATTTTAATAAGTTTAACAATTCTAAGTATATTTTTTTATATTGTTCTGGGTTGACATAATCCTCATGGCTATTTTAGTATATTTCAATAGGTTGACACAGACCTAGTTGCTATTTTAACATGTTTCACAATTCTAAAGATGCTTCTTTATATATCCATATGGTTGATAGGGTCTTCATGACTATTTTAGCATGTTTCACAATTCTAAAGATGCTTCTTTATATATCCATATGGTTGATAGGGTCTTCATGACTATTTT